GCCCACAGCGTAGATATCAAACTTGCCCTGGTGGACCCGGCATTTATTGGTCTTACCAAGGTTTATTAAGAAGAGTTTTGTTAGTTATGTTTGGCAACCAAATATCTCGTCATTGTACTTTCAAGCTTATGATATGACCTTGAATAAATGCCTTGGGACTTATTTACAACTCCACCTTAGAGAATCCGCGTTTATCTGGGCCTAGGCATTTAATCGAGAAAATACGGCGACTTAAAAAAAGTTATATACAAAAATAAGATACAGGTCATGGTAAAACATATACATTTGTTTCTTATTATAATTCGTGACTTACTTATTCTTGGTGGAATTTACTCTATTTAATCTTGCTTTTAATAGTCTCAAAATTAGCGTAGAAAAACTGGTCTACTTCTTCGCATCTAAACAACGACTTTTCGTCATACCTTCATTGATTCATTCATTCGTTCAGCATTGCACCAGTAACGAGTAAATAGCAGAATATTACTATAGAAATTGCAACTAAATCACTGCCTGACGGTAATGACTATAACTAATTAATAAAAGCCACCTTGTTTCATCACGAGTCAAACACTTGATGAAATTGAGTGATTGCATTTCTGCATATTGGACAGATTTTCGTCGTTCCTTGTAATTGTGTGGCGCACGTCATGCACACACCTAAATGACCGCATGGAAGCAAAACACTGTTACGAGGATTGTCCATACATACAATACACTCCTTCTGTTGTTCTGCAGAGACAAAAATCAGTGTCAAAACTCATTAAAAAAGCATGATAAGGTGGACTCTGGCCATAAGATACAACTAGACGTTGTAAAAGGATATTAAAAGACTAAAGAAATTAAAAAATGGGACTAAAGAAATTATAAAATGGGACGTTTCGGTTAAAATACTCTAAAATGTTTCCTCAAGAATCTAAAACGGCGTCCAGGTGTAAATGAGATGTTTTTAAGGTGATTCCTCACATTTGCATTGCGCATCCCTACTGCGCATAATTTATGGCGTCATTAGCGCGCGTTCGTGCACGCGCATATTGAAAACATGGCGGATTTGCCTTGATATTGAGTTCTGTCAGTTGAAAAATTGGCTATTGCTCACTAACGAGCTCGGACACCCCAAAATTTTTTCCAGTCATTTTAATCTACTAATCATTAGCTTTGCGTGAGAAAACATTGATCTGATTTCTATTGTTGAAAATTGAATAAATAAGGAAAATAGCAGCTGCGCTGTAGTCTTTTCTANCATCATTAAGTCCAATGAAGGCCGAAGTCTAACGATTTGCTAGTAAGCGTCGTCCATTATCGCACGTGAGGCGGGCCTGAGATGTGTAAACTGAACGGGTCACATTTAATCCCGTAACAGTAGGCCATTTGCCCTGTGGTGATAATGTTGTCCTTGCTTTAAACAGCAAAAATCTTTAGCTACATCAATTTAGGGCTTAGACGTGCAATGGACTAGACATTTCTAGCTGCTGTTGGCGTCATTTGCTCTGAACTTTGATGTAGCTAAAAATATAGAAAAAATCTGTTGAAATCTGGATACGGCCGTTCCGCGCTCGACAAAATTGAAGTACATCTGGGACATTGCTATTTGCGAGCTAAACATGGCCACGAGCAGAGTGAAGAGCATGAGTTCAAACGCTGATGGTCAGTAGAATTTCCTTGTTTCATCAATTTTAGGCGTTCTCGGCTTAGCTAAGTATCAGAACTGTCTGTGATTCGCTAGCGCGGAAGAAATTTATTTGCGTGGTTTCCGGGCGACAATTGACGTAACGACAACATGTTGAGTGTTCGCTTACTGCTAACTATGGCCTAGCTTGTTTGAAGTTCAATCGACGATGCAGGCCTTTAGGACGATGCAGGCCTTTAGGACGATGCAGGCTTTTAGAAAGCGATGGATTAGCTCTCCGCCGCGGTTTTGATATCTGTACGTTCATGTTGATTCAGACTCCAATTTCATGTTAAAAGCACTCTTAATTAAATTGTACAATTCATGATACAACGAAAAGACGGTGAATTTAGTCTTCCTGGCCTCAAAAGGCATACAGGAGAGTTATTTGGTGTTATTTGAGCTACGATAAGCATTGTGGAAAGCTAGCTCTAGGACAGAATTGTATCAAGATAATCAGTGACAAGTCAAATTCTGTGGCTATGTTTTTGCGAATCCAGACAGATATTGAAATTAAATGTCACGTAAGGGCTACTTTTTCGCTGAAATATCGAGGTAAATAACCGATTCCACTGCTTACCATGTTCTTGTCACCATGATTGGCTAATGTAACCCACAGTAAAGACATAGTGAGGTCATTTAGGTGAAATCGCAGAAGTTAAGCCTGTCTAAATTAGTGCCGCGAATCAAATGATCAATTTAAGCTCTAATTTAGCTTTGTTTGGCCCGTTCGACTCATTGGCAGCGATTTCAAAGCCTTGTATGGGCCTGGTATGGACTCTATTAAGAGTACACGAGGTAGATAGCACTCTCAGTACCACATGGCCATATTTATGTACCCTTTCTGACCGATTTGCCAAAAACGTACACATGCCCGCTATTTTGGTGCAAAGTCTTTAACGCGGTTTTCATAAATTCAGACATATATAGTTTAGTGTAAATAGAGCAATTTCTGATCCGATCAGAACGTAGCAAGATAATTTTTACACGGCAGTATGATGTATAAAAGCTAGTTAGTCGTATTAGACTCTAATTTGTAGGTCGCCATGTGTTCATTTTGAGCTATTTTAACGTAAATTTAACATAAATTTTTAACGTAAACCAAGCAGAATTTATACGCTTAGTCACCATAAGTGAACAAAGTTCATTTTCACTGTTTGATCAAATAAAGTAAAGTTTAACTTAGTCTTTAAGTTGATAGTTAGAATCTAAATAAATTCGTTTTAATTGGATCGCCAGGTTTTCGAGCTAACCCTGAAACAGCTGCGGTCCCACGTGAAACAAACTCCCATCTCTGAAGAGACTCCTTTTCTAGCCTTTCGCGTACAAGCGTGGGTGGGAAGAATGGGGAGGAGGAAAATAACAAGAGACAGAAGGCAATCCCATCTTCTTAAAACGAATGCTTCAGTTTCTTCTGCAGATTACCAAGAGATCATTGAGATTATTAATTTCAAAGTTGTCCTAGACTGCCAAAGAAAATATCATTGCCATATTCAATCTATATCCCCCATCTTTTCTCTCTGAAAGCCAATTTAGTAAAGAATCGAAAAGCCTTAAAATTACGGTTATCCCATATTAAGCCATCGTGGGGCCCCTGCTCTAGAGTGCGTTTTCTTTATTTTATATTTGTACAGTCTGATGTTTTGACGCACTAGACCAATTTTCAGACACGAAATCGTTTTTTGGTATATGAGGCGAAGTCTGCGTACGAGTCAAGTTGCTCATCGGGCCGGTGAGTAGTTCTTTTCCCCCTGGGTAGAGTCCCCAGCACTACATTCGTCGGTACTTATTTATACACCTAGGTGGAGAGAGGCACTGTGAGTGTAAAGTGTCTTGTTTAAGAACACAACACAATGTCCCCGGTCAGGGCTGGAACAAGGACCGCACCACCCAGAGCCGAGCGCCCAAACCAAAATGCGGACTCGTGCGATTTGACATAAAAGTTCCTTTCACCGGCAGTTGAATTTCTCGCTTTCATTGCAGAAAAAATTAACGAACATGTAGGTGCGAGGTAATTTCGAACAGAAAATAAGAAAAAGGCTTGAAATTGCTTCGAGTCTACGTTGGATTGTAATTCAAATGAGGAACATTAACCCTGGAAAGCGCCACTAGACCTATCACCATTGTACAAAATACAGGGAGAATATTTACCGAATGGCTCCACAAATGACTGTATTTTACTTAAACCTGAAGAGTGTGAAGAGTTGAAGAGTGTTCAATCGACAAAACGGAATTAACTTGCTTAAAAAGATCTTTCTCAAGATGCCGAGAGACTCTTTACCAGTAGGCAGTGATGAACTTAATGACAGAGTTAAACTGTGTTGTAAGTTGATCTTTATTGAAATGTTAAACAAGTGTAAAGTAACTAGTAAAAGAAAAAATAACGAAATAAACACATAGTTATAAAATTACTAAACCACACACAAAATACACTCCTTTCACCTGAACAACTTTGGTTTTGATTAACGACACTCGAATGAAAACCACTCTCATATGCAATAAATAAATGGAAAAATCCCATCTCCTAATCATATTGTAATGTTACAAAATAGGTGGAAATAGGAGGCATTATTTCTTCACGCTCTACAACATTTTAAAAAGGGGAAGCACTAAAGAGCGTCTGGAAGGAGTTCAACTGATAGCTGAGAACTACTAAGCAAAATTTTAACTGGCAGCTGAAAAATGACGGGTTTTTTTTTTAAGTAATAGCCGAGATCCGAGCTCTGAAAAGTTTACTGATTGCCGCGGAATGGGCTGAAGTTTTAACTAATTCCTGAGAAATCGCCAAAAATTGATTGCGGCAACCCCAACCATGCCATCACTAAGTATTTTCCTGTTTTAAACGAGATAAAGTGCCTAAGACCCCGTCAACACTACGACGGAGAAATTTGAAAACGCAGCTTTATTTCTACGGTTAGGCCTACCGTCCACACTAATCCGTCACGATAATGTCGCTTTTCGTAAACGCTCTTCCCACCGGAAGAATTTGAAAACGCCGGCTTTGCGTTTTAGATTGGAAGGAAAACAGAGCTTTTCGAAAACAGATAACGATGTGGTTTCTCAGACCGAGTTTTCCTCAAACAAAAATCCAAAATGACTGGTGTTTGTTTCGTTCTCAAAATTCTCCGACGTAGTGTGGACGAAAAACATTCGATGCTTTTAATGAAAGAGGAAACGCCTTTTTCAGATTTCTCCGTTGTATTGTGGATGGGGTCTAAGAATTGTGTCCGGGATTTTAGCATTTTTCCGGGTGTTCCAAAAAGCGTAAAAAATCAAGTGCAACAGCATTATTATCGTGAACTACAAAAGCCTGCCCAAAATAATAACAATATCTTCACATGAACGCGAACACAGCGGTCACCATAGCAACAAACATGAAGCTGTTGAGCTGAATAGACGATGCAAGATTCTTTTCATCTTTATCATCGCCATCGTCGTCGTCGTCATCGTCTTCACCGAGTTCATCGCCCAAAGTAGTAACTGGGTCAAAAACGATGGACTTGGTAAACCTGGGAGCGCGGAAGATAAGCATCTCTTTGTTGCCTCGTTTCTCGAACTTGGGATAACCACCAGTCATGTTGCTATATTTGCCGTCACGTTTGCACTGAAATGGAAGTTAAATAAAGTTACTATATTAAGCGACCACCTATTAAGCGGCCAGTTGTCAAAGTCTCGAAATTATTGTCAGTAAAATACTGTAAATAATACCCATATTCCGGCCACCTCCATTGAGCGGCTTCAGTCATCTTTTGGCCGTCCCGATGAGGGTTTTTCTACTGTCTTTACCTCTATTAAACGGCCACTCAAAATTTAAAACCCTTGTTTTGGAAAAGTTGATGGCAGATAAGAGTACGAAATAGAAGGTGACGAGTGATAAAAACATTCAAACACAC